TGATGGGTATCTGTGAAATGCAATATGTGAAATGGCCCTGGACATCATGGAAGCCGCTGAGAGCACAGAAGGCGGTTTTTGTTTTTTTCAGAAAATGAAGATTTCTTGCTCCATTAGAATTAAATGTGAGTGTGTGAGAGAGGAAGAAGGAGAGAGAGGGAGAAAGTGAGAGTCAAAGGAAGAAGACCTCCCATGAATGTCTGGTGAATTACAGAGTCTGCATTATATGGCCACTGTTGGGACAACAAGGAGATTGTTGCTACTCAAGTATTCTGTGCTAATTTGGGGGCAATTTCCATGCTTTCACAAATCAGTCTCTCTGGCTGTAGTCTAATTAACAGGACCAGCAACTGGAGGCTGACTTTCACATGTGTATCGCTTGCTGGCTAAGCAACTGCAGACAGGAGTCATCCATAGCTGAGGGTGGATCACAATTAATGCCCACCGATCTGCTCTGCATTGCTTTCAGAGGCCACTAATCTATAAGGGCACTTCACTCTACATTATGGCACAAGTTGTCTTTATCATCTATATTTCTATAGCTCCCACATAATACAGGGTACCATACCCAGAGAACTTGAGCCCTCCGGATGTGTAGAACTGCCGCAAGGGGGAGGCACAGAGGGCCCACTTCCAAAGGCCTGCCCTCCAGCAGAGCACCAAGGACAGAGACTTCTATAGCTGCTCCTCCTCTTCAGTGTCGCCGTCAGCCTTTCTGCCTGCCTCTTGCTTGATTAGCCAATGGTGATGACGAAAAGGAGGAATAGTAGATGCCGCCACTTCTTTTGTTCACTGCCTCTCTGCCGGTCAAGCAAGCAGAAGCAAAAGGGGAAAGCGGAAATGGAGCAACAGCACATGGTGGCGGTGGCAGTCAGGAGGCAGATTCATTGAAGGGAGCTGCACACTGAACGTGCCTTGCCCAGTGGCCGTCCAAAACCTGGAGCTGGCCCGGGACGCCACTCCCACCATTCCTAGCCTGCTCCCTGAGCGCCACCTTTCTTCAACGTGGGGCACTGAGCTGCTTTCAGAGAAGCTCTTGGGGACTCCAGTAACGGGTGGGACAGAGCAAAGGGAGCAGGGGAAGTGGGCATGGCCTTCTGGAGAGCCCTAGAGAACTGAGGTGGGTTGAATCCAGCACCTAGGCCTGAGGTTGCACCCCCAAGCTTAGCAGGAGAAGGCATGTCTGCTTCACACAAACAACTGGGGTGTCTGAAGAGGTAGGCCCAGGCCCAGCATCAGCGATCAGGTTCGTGCCAAGGCCCAAACCCTGGTAAGGGGCCCATGATGCACAAGCTGGCTTTGGTTTCTTGTCAGTTGTTGCCAGGCATTTCCACCACCGGGAAATGATCCCGAAGACCCATGAAATAATGCTGAGGATATTACATTGCCCTGCCACTGGAGGGGAAGGCACCCACTGCTTGTATTGGACCTGTCAAGAAGGGAGCTGACAGCAGAGAAGGCTTTCGCAGCAGCAACATTAGTGGAGAAAGGTCACATCCCCCTGAAAGAGGCCTGCAGCACTCTTGCTAAGGGTTTCCAAAAACATGGAAGCAGCCCAGGTGGTCTCCCAGAATCCTTCATGCCTTCTTTGCCTCTTGTTGTACTCAAAATGCACTTTTTTGTTGAGAAAGCTTCTCCTTAGACTTGTCCAGTTTGACACAGCTACATATTTAGTTCCACCTGGCTATGCTATAAGAAATTATTTAAATAATTCTATCAGTGGCTTTCTGGATGCTCTGGACCCCTTTGCTGCACTCAATTATTATTCATTTCTTCTAAAACACTCCATGTTTCCACACAAAAAAGGCAGGAAGGTAAATTAAAAGGAAACTTGATTAACTAGCAAGAGAAACTGTTTTCTGTTTTTCCAAACTTGAATTATTTAAAGCAGGGGGAGGGCATTAAGGTTTGTGTATGGGTTTTTTAAATTTCAGTACAGCTTAAATTTTATGTACAGCTTTCTTGTACATAAAAACTAAGCTCAGCTATGGTACACATGGAACAGATATTATAAGTGCAGTTTCTAAGTGACAGTGTAAAGCTGTACCTGCCTCCCTTGATTTAGTGCCCTCAAGATATGTTAAGAACCACCATCTATATGCATTAGAGAGGGAAGGAATAACAGTCTTTCATTAATATGTGGCATTTTGGTTCCTTCTCCCTTTC